TGAAAGAAGAGAGTGTTAGAATGTCACAAGAAAAGCAAGTCTCTGTGCTGCAGCTCTTTAAGTCACCCAACTACCAACAACCCCTCCTCATTTCCATTGTGCTTCAGCTCTCCCAGCAGCTCTCTGGGATAAATGCTGTGAGTATCTACTTTTAGGTCAAAGGAATCCTACAGTATTTCACTTAAAACCTGATCAGCCAGGCATGGTGATATGATCCTGTGTTCTCAGCTACTCTGGAGACTGAGGCAGGAGCATCGGTTGAATGCAGGAGTTCAAGAATGCCTGGTGAACAGCATTGAAAGACTCTCACCTCAAAAACATTAAGACGCTGGGGTTGTGGCTCAGTGGTAAAGCGCTTGCCTAGCACAAGTGAGGCACTGGGTATGATCCTAGCACCACATTAAAAAAATAAATAAAATAAAGATATTATGTCCATCTACAACTAAAAAATATTTAAAAAAAAAACAAGGAATGAGTGGTTTTAGCTGTAGCTCTTAAGGCACTCAGAAAATACTGATTATCTAGTTTTTGACAGTTTTATTTGTTTTTAAAAATTATATCTATATTTCACAAGGAGGAAAATAGAATGAAAATTTTATTGTCCTTAGTCTTAGAAATGAATTAATATTTGTCTTCTTCCAAATTTTTTCACCATATTGGCATCACATATTTATCTTTTCCTACTAATTTTTTTTTTTAAAGAGAGTGAGAGAGGAGAGAGAGAGACAGAGAGAATTTTTAATATTTATTTTTTAGTTCTCAGCGGACACAACATCTTTGTTGGTATGTGGTGCTGAGGATCGAACCCGGGCTGCACGCATGCCAGGCGAGCGCGCTACCGCTTGAGCCACATCCCCAGCCCTTCCTACTAATTTTTTGATGCTGGGCCTTGCACATGCTATACCACTAAGCCACATTCCCAAACCTAATCTTCTTTGACCACTCATTTTATTATTTCTTTAACTGATCTAGCTTATGATGTCATCAAAAATAATGTTGATAATGTAAACTATGCAACTTAAGTAGATCCTAGAATTTATACACCTTGGCTTTTTTCCCCAGGACTTTATAGTCTAGAATCAGAAATTAACTACAGAAGAATGATTTTTATAGCTAAAGTGGATGGCAAAATAGAAGTTGCCTTTGTATAGTATGCAAATATTAGCTTCCTGCTTTTGAGCATGGGTTATGATAAGAGAAAGTTTTCCTATACTTTCTGTCCATTTGCAGATAAAATATTTGGGTGTGAAAATTACTCTTGCCCATCTCTTTAAATTCTGACTCATTCCTGTAATTTTCCATCGGTCTTTGATCAATGTGATCAAATAATTTTCTAACAAAGATCTTTTTGCAAAACACTTGGTACTCACTATGTTGGTACCTGTAATCCCAACTTTTACTTCAGAAGCTGAGGTGGGAGGACTTTAACATAGTGAGACCCCCATCTTGGGGATGGTGGAAGAAATTGGTTTCGGATCTGTTCTCCTTCCTAGCATACAAATAGAAGGATATTTTGGTGTGTTTTGCCAGTTGGGGTTCTGGGAATCAAACTCTAGGGCATGCTAAAAGCACTCTACAACCCCAGCCCTGGATACTTATATTTAAAGTAGCAATGCTGAGCCAGGCAAAACAGTGTGTGCATGTAGTCCCAGATGCATGGGAGGTTGAGACAAGAGAATGAGACTTGAGGCCAGCCTGGGCATTGTAGCAGGACCCAGGCTCAAAAATATAAAAAGGATATAATAATAGCAGTAGTACTTCTTGTGAGACTCTTTTTATCAGAATCTAGGAGGAAACAGTTAGAAAAAGCCTTGCAGTCTGAAATTTCCTCATTTCAAAAAGATGATCGGCTATATTACTAGAATAAAATATGTTCCCAGGGCTTTCAAAGCAGCAGGACTGGAACTGAATTGAGTCCCTTAGGTACAAACAAGCCCAGCCCTGGAAATAAAGCATACACTCAATGTGCCTCCCTTGCTGCCTCACCCTAGTCCCTGCTCTGCAAAACAGGATCAGAAAAACAGCAAATGACAGGAGCACTCTGTAGGAGAGACTTGTTCCACTTCAGGAAATGGTGTGTAAGTTTATTATTGAACTAAGATGGCTCCCAATTTAGTCAGGGACCAGATTTTGCAATTGGAATAGTGTAACCCAAAACTGTCTGCATTAGAGTTATAGGGTGGGAATCCTGAGCCACTGAATCAATATCATGTAAAGGGCCTGGAAATTCTTTTCTCTAGAAAGTAAACGATACAGAACAGGCTTGGAAATCACTTGTTTTCTAACTTCCCTTAAAGGCAGATGGGTAAGTCTTTACCTAATAGTAAACTGCTTTTTTAGATGAGGATGTAGGATTCAGCATACTTAGCTTAATTGTACTAGACAGAAAAGTAACCTTACTGTAAGAAATTTGTTTGAGATATGTATATATACATTAGTTTGTTTGGGTTTTTGTTTCTTTGTACTGGGGATTGAGACAGGGTCTCTCTAAGTTGCCCAGCAGGCCTTGAACTTGTGATCCTACTGCCTCAGCTACCAGAATCAGTAGGATTTCAGGAATGTGCTACCATGCCTAATTTGTAATTTTATTTTAGAAGATATAAATATGTATACTCTCCACGTTAGATACTAGAGATTTGAAGAGTTGTTTTTTGAAGATAAATTCCAGTGTAAAGAGATATATCCAAAAGACTGGGGAATGTTGCTGTAGCAGCAAATATTCTGGGTGAAGTCATGAAATCCAGAGCTGGACCTGAGGGATCTAGATGTTACCTTGTTACCATACAGTCTGAGGACAACCCTACATTTTAGCCTAATGCTCAACAAATAATACTGAGGTTGGGGGTGTACCCCAGTGGTAGAGTGCTTGCCCAGTGTGTAAAAGGCCCTGGGTTTGGTCCCCAGCACCACAAAAACAAAAGTACAAAAAAGAATAATCTTATTTTATTTCATAGTGTAAAGTAAATAAAATTAATAGCTGGTATTAATTCCTTTCCTTGGAAAGGACTGAGGTCTATGAAATCCATTCTAACACTGCTTATTATATGATAAAGCTAAGGTTTTTCAGTTTCTTCACTGTCAAAGTAAGACACTCAATGTTCATATCAATATCTTGAGTTTGGGGAAGAGCCCATTAAAAAGTTCTTAGTAGGACTTAAATCTTTATATGAATTAATAAAGTGAAATAATGAATAATAAAAGGATCCGTGGGAATGAGCATTCGAAGAAAAATTCAAATGAGTAGCTGGAATGGAGCAGAATTAAGAGAATTGAATAAGATAGAGAAGACAATTCATTTGCAGAAGAATACTGTGCACAAAGACTCTAGAAAAGACATCTTACCTCCTGGGACTCTGAGTTTCGTTTTTGAGAGTTGTATTTAACTTTTACACATAATCATATCAAAGGTATGTCTTTTGTTTGTTTTTAGGTGTTCTATTACTCAACAGGAATCTTTAAGGAAGCAGGTGTTGATGAGCCAATATATGCTACCATTGGAGCCGGTGTTGTTAATACTATTTTCACTGTAGTTTCT